GGTGCATGGGGCTGCCCCAGCGCGCTTCCCGGCGGGCGCGCGGTAGGGTGCGGTGGATGGGCTTATGTGCGGCTGCACAATATTATTATTTTTTTGGCTTCAGTGATCTGTGTGTATTACGCGGGCCGGGGGGGGGGGGGGCGACTTGCTCACAGACGATCTTGTCCGCTTCCTGGCCCTTTTTCATCTCGTCGGCTCATGCGGGGTGTCCACGGACCGTGCTGCAGAGCCGGGGCACCCAGGGGGTCGCATATTCTTTCAGATGATGTTGCATTCTCTAGCGGTCCACAACTGAGGGAGGCCGATCGGGCCGAGGGGAATAGTAGCATACCTCGATCGAGTGACCCCTGGGAGATTGTAGGACCGAAAGTGCGATCTCCTGGACCCGGGGCCGGGCTGGTCAACAGAAAAGGCCGTAGCCCACCGCCGGGCCCGCGCCCAGTGGCAGCGCCATCCCTGGGTCCTTCCCTGCCCCCCCCCCCCCTCGCCTGGATCCCCGCCACCTGCCCCTTCCTCCTCATTTGCTCCTCTCCCCATAACACGCTGCGCGCGCGCGGTCTCTCTCTCTCTCTCTCTCTCTCTCTCTCTCTCTCTCTCTCTCTTCCTCTCTCTCTCTCTCTGGCCCCCTCCCTCCCTCCTCCCCCACCCCTTCCATCACAGCCCCTGGCCGTGCTCTCTTCCGGGGATGACCGGGCCTGATTCCTATCCCGGAGCCAAGGCAATGGCGCCCTCGCCGTTCATGGTTGCCAAGGCCGGCCCAGTCTGCTCGATCCCGCTCCCATCAACTGATACGCGTTTCCTTATCACACCCACCCGGAGCCGCGGCGGATCCGGCTGTGGCCCGGCTGATCCCGGCTCCGACCGTCCTCCCAGCTTGGCCGAGGGGCTCTTCTGTTGTTCTCAGATCGACTGCACCAATGGCCAGTCATTCTCCTCGATCACTCCGGCCAAGCAATATGGCTCCATTCCCTCAAACACTCGGGCAACCGATTTGCCCGGGCCGCCCCGATCACCCGGCGACCTGCGGCTGCACTCGGCCTGTCTGATTCGCTGCTTGGTTGATGGATACCTGCGTGTTGGACACCTTTTCTCCCTGGCCCTGGCCGTGCAATCCCTCAGCCTGGAGCAGCTGGCCGCCGCGGTGAGTCTCTTCCAAAATGCCGCGGTAACCGGCTTCGTCCTCTTCCGTGAGTGTGTTGACCGATTGGCGGACACCGGGGAGCCGGGCTCTCCGGCATTCAGTGCGCCCCCTTCTCCTGCAGCACTGCCTCCCTCCAAGCCTCCCTCAGCATGTTACTGACCCATCGATGTTCTCGCCCTCCTTCCATGACACATCAAACAACGTCCCTCTCTCTCTCTCTCTCTATCTCTCTCTCCCTCCCTCCCTCCCTCTCTCCCTCTCTCTCTATATATATCTCTCTCTCTCTGGCTTCGATTCCCCTGCCCTTCTCGACAGTCACAGCCCTCGGGGCACTGGTTCATGCATTCCCCAGCGGGCCCAGCGGGAGTCCGGAAATTGAGGGAGCATGCACACAGAACTGCGCCCTTTTGGCCATCCGCCGGGCTTCGCGCGCCCTTGTTGACCGTCTCCCGGCCGGGCTTACGCCTGTGGAGGTGGATGAAGTGCGGAATGTGCTGGATGTCCTGCTGGCATTGGCCGCGCTGGCGGGGGCCGATGCCCCGACCGATTTCGAGGCCGAGCTTGGCAGTGTCTTCCGTCGTCAAACAGCCGACGCCCCACCCGGGGGCCACCACTCGGCCTTCGTCCAAATCCATCGCCTTCTCTTCTCGGGACACAGTGGCTCCGCGCTGCGGCGCTTCTTTGCCCGGTTGACCACTGACCGGGGTCACTTTGCCCAGTGGTTTGTCCAATTCCGCATCAACCACCCGATTCCGGTTCCCTGCTCCATGGAGGAGGGCTACGGCTGGCCGTCGCTTCATCTAGCCGCGTTCGCTGGCTGGGCAGACGGCGTGCTCTTCCTCCTGCCTTTGGGTGCGCGGCCGATCCTCCTTGCCAGCGCTCTTTTCGTCTGGCCCTCTCTCTGTCTCTGCCTCTCTCTGCCTCTCTCTGCCTCTCTCTGCCTCTCTCTGCCTCTCTCT